CCAAAACTTGGAAAGAGTTGAAATTACGTGGCGATCAAGCTGAACACTTTCTTAAAAGAAAGAAAGTTGAGAGAGGTCAACAGACGGCATCCAAAATTCCTGTGAACGCAACTCTCGATCCGAGGTTCCAAAAGGAGTATTCTTTCGAAGATGATGAAGCTCCAGCCATCTTGAAATACCTCCTCGCCAACTGATATGCCTTTACCGATCACCGTTTGAATCGGGCTAGCATGTGGATTGTCTAGATCCGTTCCACACGTAACGTTGTGCTAAGAAAATTGCTTTTCTTAGATTTGATGCTATGACTTTGAATACATAGACTTCGTCTTTCTTACGGGAATAGACTACCCGGCAACGCGTGTTAGGCGTTGACTTTGGGGTTTTTGGCAAACCCCCAGCCTTCAACGGGTTTGATACGCCTTTACCGATTACCGTTTGAATCGGGCTAGCATGCGGATTGTCGAAATCCGTTCCGCATGTAACGTTGTGCTAAAGGAATGAACTCCCTTAGACTTAATGCTACGACTTCGAATACGTAGACTTTGCCCTTGTTACGGGAATAGGCTACCCGGCAACACGTGTTAGGTGTTGACTTATCCCTATTTAGGATTCGGGATAAAATTCCCCATGCACCAAGTGCGCGGATTGGAAGTTTAAAGTTGTGTCAAAATAGGAGAGGAAAAATTTTATATTCTGTCTCCCGGTGCTGAAGAGGAAGAATTTTATATTCTATCTACAGCTGGAAAGGAAACTCGAGGTGGGATATCCACCCCCAGAATCTGGAAGGATGAACTAGGAGTGGGATTTTCACTCCGAGCATCAGAAAGGATGAACTGGGAGTGGGATTTTCACTCCGAGCATCAGAAAGGATGAACTGGGAGTGGGATTTTCACTCCGAGCATCAGAAAGGATGAACTGGGAGTGGGATCTCCACTCCGAGCATCGGAAAGGTCCGAGGAGAGGAAGAATTTTATATTCTATCTCCCGGTGCTAAAGAGGAAGAATTTTATAGGCGGACGCAACAATCTCGGCAGCGAGATCGGTGGCTCCCACTATGGTCGCCAGATTGTTCGCGGTGAAAGTTACTTTCATTGAATTCATTGTTCTCTTCAGTAATAGTTTATTGATTACAAAAGATCCGGTCTTTTTATAAGATCCGGTTACAACAAAATCAAAAGAAAATGAAAATTACAACTTTCCTTTTATGTCGAACGAATCGCGAGATCCTGTTTTGCGGTCTCTCGCTTTTGTGGGTTCTTTGCCTACGCCGGGGTTAATCCGTGGACCACCGCGCGATCTTGATCCGGTCGGATCTACATGGTATAACGGGTGTTATCTCACAAAGGAAATAATAGCCGAGGGGATTATTTCGCCAAGGAAATAATAGCCCTAGTTATCGAAATCGACCAAACGAAATTGAGACTCTTCTCGGGATCAAAGGCTAAGCTCTGATCCGGAGGGAAACCATGTAGATCTCAGATCTGATCTCTCTCTCGAACTCCTGCCTTATTTGGCGTGGATGATCGCCAAGAACCAGATCTGAGAGTCCGAGTCTTCTCAGCTTGAAAATCCGAAGGTGAGTTCTCAATCCAGCAGAGTTTCGGCTCCAAAATTCCCACCTTTGAAAAATGAAGCCATGCCCCCTCTATTTATAGGCAATCAAAGCGGATCTGGGCTCAGATCTGAGCCCAGATCAGAGTGTGGCTCGGCCACCGAGCCACCCTTGGGTGGCTCGGCCATGGCCGAGCCAACCTAGGTGGCTCGGCCACCGAGCCACCTCTTGGTGGCTCGGCTTTGGCCGAGCCACCTGGGTGGTTCGGCTTTGGCCGAGTAGTCCAGGTGTGGTGCCGTGTCGTCCGTCGTTCGGTTTCGCGGTTCATCGGTTTATCCGAGCTTCGTCATTGATCCGAACTCTGATTTGGTAGTCCGATCCTGATTTGGCAGTAAACCCGCTTCGGTGTTCGAGTTCGAATCCGTTCTACGGTTGGATGACTCGTTGACTCACCGAATCGTTAGCTTGATTTCGCATGCGAGTGAATGTATTCCGTTGTTTGCGTGCGGTTCGTTTGCCTCGTCGCCTCGTTAATCCGCTTCGTCGCGTATCACTTGGCTTCGGTGTTGTGGACTAACGATCGTGTTTAGATACGTCACCCGATGGTTCGTTGGTTTGTCGAATCACTGTGCCGAGCTGTGTTAAGGGACCTATAGGCAGTTTTATACGCCTACAGTCTTCCTATGGGAGATTACTCATATCAAGAGTACTTTCCCTCTAACCTGCAGCTAGAACAGCTGAAGAGAGATTCCTCCGACATGTATGACACGCTCTGGGACCTTACATGTCATTATCACACATCCCTGGTCAGGATGAGTCCTCTGGCAAAGAGGAAGAAGTAGGTCAGCTTGAAGCAGTTTGCTGATTATTTATTTCAATATTTGTAGAGTAGTTCGGGCGAGACCATTTGTGAGTTGGCCCCTTTGACACCTTCTGCCATTAATGACTTAAATGAGAGGGCCGATGCTCGTTCATTTACTACAGCTGGTGTTGAGGGTTCTTTTCCGGTGAGGACTAAGTTTCGGACATTCCTTTGTCATGCATGGAAGCCTATTCGGACTAAGACCCTTCTGGCGGGGTATCTGGTCCTTTGGTTGAAGAAGTGCGTTGTTCCATATCAGTTTTTCGACGCTTTGCCTATTGAGGTCCTCCCCCCTACCGTCCAGCTAGCTCACGGGAATGATCTTTCTCTGCTTTCGGCGATGGTCGTCGATATCCATTGTGGGCTTAGATATTTGGTCGATGGTTTTACACATGTGGGTTCTGAACCATTGACCGAGGTTCTTTCTGTAAAGGTGGAGCTTCCGTATACGTACTTGATGGCATAGCTCGTGCTTCACCGTCCTGATTTGATGTCAGCGCCTAGTACTACCGATGCCTTTGTCCCTTTTCTGCAGTTGTTAGAGGGGAGCAAATTGTATGCAAAGACCTTTACTGAGGCACAGCGAGAGCTTCAAGTTTGTAAGTGCTGGGAATCCTTCAAATGTTTTCATCATTTCTCGGGTCGTTATGACGACGTATTGATTGATGAGGAGAAGCCAGGGGGTGGTCAGAATTCTCTTGATATTGGTTGCTTCCGTTGGTTGGTGAACATCCGCGTTGGATACCTCGTCCTTCGAGTAAAGGGTCTTTGCCACATAGAGCCCTATCTTCCTTACTGTTTTGCTCATCAGTTCGGTTATGACCAACTATATGCTAGGAACCTGAACCGAGGCTTGAGGAGTGAGGGAGGCCTTATTGATGGTGCTCGAGTATGGCTTTGGACTATGATGGGTTGCATCGGCTCCTATTTCGCTCTTCCTTCATCCAAGCACAAACCATCACTTACCTTTCTCAGCTACAAATGGCTCCTTGCTGCCAACGAGCTTCTAGATGTGAAGGACCTCTCGGAGTTGGAGGCTGAGCACTTGGTTCAGACCACTATTAAAGCTGCTCGTAAGGCTGAGCTTTTGAAGAAGCAAGGGAAGAAACCTGTCAAGCCCTCCCGTTCAAGCAAAAATAGGTTGGAGGACGATGAAGAGGTCCTTCCTATTGATGATGAGGATGAGACTTCTGAAGAAGAATCGAGGGATGTGGACACCGGTTTTGGAGTTGATGAGGAAGAATCTAAGACACGTCTGTTAGACTCTTTATTTTCAGAATTAATGGATCTGGCATTTTTTTTGTGGGTCTCAACGCTCTAGATCTCAATTGGCTCCTCCAAAGCTGAAACGAAAGGTTTTATTTACTTATCCTAACAAGATGACTCGTGTCACTCCAGGTAGGATGGTTGATGAGCATGAGCCCCATATTTTCTGTTACGTGAGATCACGATCTAGCGCCAAGGGTTCTGCATTGGTTGAGATGCGTACTAAATCTACACATGAGCAACCTGTTAGTCCTGTAGAGGTTTGTCCTCCAAAGCGGAAGAAGACCGATCATAAGTCACATATTGGTTAGCGCGCCCGCGAAGTAGAGTTACGAGGTACTGTAACTACTGGTGGAGAAGAAGGTAATGGTCCACTATTTTTATGACTTTAAAAATAGTGCTCTTCTGGATTCCCTGAACCTAATCATGTTTCGTGTTTCAAGAAGCCATGGCGGAGGTGAACTTCCGCACCTTCTGGATTCCCTGAACCTAATCATGTTTCGTGTTTCAAGAAGCCATGGCGGAGGTGAACTTCCGCACAACTCTGTATTCTCCGATCCTGGCCATTTGGATAGCTTGAGCTTCGTGTAGCAAATGTACGACGCCATTCGTGATGAGCCTACGTATATTGGAGCAAACAGAGATGCTAACTAGGATGACAACGTTGAGCCGAGAATTCTACGCCTAGGTATATCTAACATTGGTAATATACCATTTGAGTGACAATTAAAGGAATTAGGCAATTTGGAATTCGTTCCCCCTTTAATCATTTCCGCACTTCATTTTCTTTTAGACAAATTGAAGAACGCGGGCATGAATATTAGGGCAGAAGAGCCTTCTACCATCGCTGCAGGTAAATCTGAGTTCCTTTCTCTCCCTCCCTTTTTTTTGTATATGTCCAGCACTTAAACTCTTATGTAGGTATCGCGCTAGAGAGGCCGGTCGAGGACGAGACTTTTCATGAACCACTCATATTGCCTAGGGATCCATGTATTATATAAAAAGATGTTTTATATTAATATATGTGTGGCTAGAAACTTTGGTGGACATCAACTTAAGTTGATAGGATATATATATAGAGTTTTATTCGGATGCGAAAAATTTTCGCACAGCAACGTGCGAAAAGTGGGAAAGCTTCCCCAGCGTGCGCTGCAGTACACTTGGCTTGCCCCGATTCGTCCAGGCTGTTGGGTTGAAAAAAGCCACGACATTTTTCACCGAGCCCCCTCCAAGACATCCTAAAAATCAAGCCCCGTAATCATTTTTCCTCCTCCTAAAAGCTTATTCCCAAACCAAATCCAGATCTCCCTCTGTTCCCCCCGCCCCCCCGCGCCTCCAAGACCATTCCTCCTTCCCAAAACAAAGGCTCCCCTAACCGGATCGGCCTCTGTCAGCCTCGCCCTTCCTTCTCCGTGAGCCTACTCCGGTGATCCCGATCTCTCTCTCTCTCAGGTAAGATCCCGATCTCTCTCTGGAATCTCGGCGTCTCTCTCTCTCTCTCTCTCTCGATCCCTCTCAGGTAAAATCTCGAGGGCATCATGTTTCCTTTGAATGTATCCGAGGAGTTAGTTCATTGGCTGGAGATGGATGTTCGTGAAAGGAGATGGGTTCAAAGGCGTTACCTTTCATAGCAGAATAAACTACATATTGCCACATTCAACTGTTCTAATGAAAATTATTATACTTTTTATACATTCCACTAGATTTACTTAAAGCCATATGCATTCTATTCCACATATCATCATCGACAACTTCAAGAAAGCTTAAAGAAAATGTAACAATTTAATTTACAAAGTTTAATTATTTCATAGTTCACTATTAAAATCTCGACGTGTCCCTAAAATTGAAGATCAAATCCCCCTTTGCTCAAGCATTGATTAGTTTAGTAATATTTAGTTTTGCGGGATCACATCATATGAGGTGTAGATATAGCTTTTAAATACTCATGAGTTTCTAAAGATTGTAAGTTCAATCTACAATATTTTTTCTGGTTGTAATTCAATCTTCTTTGTTGTATTAGGTTTTAATTATTTTCGCATTTTACACAACCATCAAAGTTTTTACAAATACTTTCGATTTATGAGTGAAATATATGATTTATTTTGTTAACAAGTCTATGTATTAATTGTTACTTGTTTCTTGCTGTAGAGAAAAAGATTGACGAGCTTCACAAGAAGGCATGTGCATGCTGCATTCTGTAGTTCTGGATCTTGCAACACCTGTGCTTTTGATCAAGGAAAATTTATGTAATATATATTGTCACCTTTGTCTGATTGAAGATGTAATTGGGGACATGTTTTCTAAACTCAGAAAGTAATGATTTTCATGATCTCACATGTTCAAGGCACGCTTGGTGGATGCTTTTTATTGACATATTCATTTCTTGTCATGTTATTGTTTTTATTGACATTCATTACCTACAAAAGTATATGCAAGACAAGAAAACAATATACATACAAAACAATACACAATACATACTACAACGATACATACTACAACAACACTTACTACAACGATACACAATCACATACTTTTTGCATACTGTACATACTACAAAGATACACAATAAACAGGTGTCTGGACAAGCCTTGAGCAGGATGCTGAATCACGAGCGATGATGTGCTTATCCCATTCAATCAAAGTCTCTTCCTACGTTGCATACCCTTTATATGCGGCATTTGGGATTTTATAAAGAATCATGCCCACCTCTGAGGTACAGAACTATCGGATATCCAACACAAATCACAGTATCAGTCTACCAGAGAGTAGATATATTCTAAAAATAATGTGCATAATAGTAGTGATGCAGTAGGGCCTCCCCTAAAAAAAAGAAAATGCAGGTAAGCAAATGGAGTTCTCCAGAACCGTTTCAATCACAAAGATTCTTCACTGTAGCAAAACTTCGTGACTGGGGGAAGATAATAAATAAATACTACCGGACTCCTACGCCCAAGTTCCAACTAGCATCACCAAATGGTGTTTATCGCCTATCCAAATCCCATAGAATGCAAACCCATTTCAAAAATAAATCCACTGATCAAATGCTGCAATGCATTTCTAATCATATTCCAAATCCTCGCATGAGTGCTTGCGCACATATCATCCGCAAGTAAGTGCTACATTACCCACAATGATTTCACCTCAAAGGAAATAACACATGAAAAAATCTGCATCATTTCAGCTCGTGATATACTTTAAACTAATACTAACAAGTTAATTGATATCCCAGATTGACAATTGCACCAAAAATGACAAGTTTAACCCAGAGATTATGAGCATTTAATTATATTTGAGAGACAATTAAGGTTCAAAATTAAGCGCTTCCAAATTCAAAGAAAACAAACCGTAGTTAATCTCCGAGATAAGATTGAAAACTCACATCTAGATCACGACTGAGCTTCGCAATCGAACCTCCTGCGTGAAAAATGACTGCTATTAGGGCTTTTCAGAAATCGAAGTGCAAACACTAGAGTGATAAAAAAAGCCCTAGTCCTAAACAAAATGGGATTAAATGCTCATGCTATGAAAGGTAACGCATTTGAACCCATCTCCTTTCACGAACATCCATCTCCGGCCAATGAACTAACTCCTCGGATACATTCAAAGGAAACATGATGCCCCCGAGATTTTACCTGAGAGGGATCGAGAGAGGTCGAGAGAGAGAGAGAGAGAGAGAGACGACGACAGAGAGAGAGAGATAGAGAGAGCAGAGAGACGAGAGAGAAGAGGAGGAAGAGAAGAGAGAGAGAGAGGACTGAGGAATTCCAGAGAGATCGGGATCTTACCTGCAGAGAGAGAGATCCGGGATCACCGGAGTTTTTTAAAGCTCGCCGGAGAAGGAAGGGCGGGGCTGACAGAGGCCGATTCCGTAAGAAATAATAAAAACGGGAGCCTCTTGTTTTGAAGGAGGAATGTCTTGAGGCAACGGGGCGGGGGGGGGGGGGGGCAGAGGGAGATTGGATTTGTCGTTTGGATAAGCGTTTTAGGCAGCAGGAAAAATGAATTTACGGGGCTTGATCTTTTAGGATCGTCTTGCAGGGGCTTCACTGAAAAATGTTCGTGGTTTTTTTCAACCGACCAGGCCTGGACGAATCGGGGCAAGCCAAGGTGTACTGCAGCGCACGGCTGGGGAAGCTTTCCCACTTTTCGCACGTTGGCTGTGCGAAAATTTTTTGCGCATCCGAATAAAACTCTATATATATATCCTATCAACTTAAGTATGATTCCACGCGAAAGTTTTAGCCACACATATATTAATATAAAACATTTTTATATAATACATGATCCCTAGGCAATATGGATGGTTAAAAACTTTGGTGAACACACTATTTGCATATCTCATTAATTGATACGAGTTTTCACAACACACCACACACACACGATATATATATTATACTATATATATATTATATATATATATATATATATATATATATATAGCAGAGACGAGAGAGAGAAAGATGAGAGAGAGAAAGAGAGAGAGAGAGAGAGAAAAATGCGTATACTTGGTACAAGAGATCATTGGTATGATTGTGGACACCTATATGCTTGTCCATACATGCAACACTTGAAGATGGAGCCTCACCAACTCAAGGTGGATGTATGGACAAGATGTGTCCACATCAACTACCAAGGATACGCCTTGCCGCATAGTATACCCATATTCCTTATGAATATATATATATATATATAATAGTATATATATATATATATTATATATATATATATATATATATATTATTATATATAATATATGAGATTAATGGGTATCCATTCGTCATAAGGAGGGAGATTTCCTCTTGACGCCTATAAAATTCAACATGATTGAGCGACATTATGGATGATCCGCTCCCTTGAACTTGATCTACATATTCTAAAACCCCAACACACCAAGTTTGGGGTGAATCCGTCGTCGTTTGACCCTCCATCGAGCCATTGTGAAAAGTTCTATTCAATCAAACCGTTAAATTGCATACGAGTCGGATGAAGGGTCAAAACGACGACGCGGTTCACCCCAAACTTGTGTGATTGCGGATTTTTAGAATATGTAGATGCAAGTTCAAACAAAGTGGATCATCCACAATGTCGCTCATTCATGTGATTTGTAAGAGGCGTCGCTCAAGGAGAAATATCCCTCCTATGACAAGGATATCCCATTTAATCTCTCTCTCTCTCTCTCTCTCATCTTCCTCTCTCTCTGCTTGTATATATTATATATATATATATTATATATATATATATATATATATATATATATAATATATATATATAGTATATATATATTATATATATATAGGGGGAGAGAGAGAGAAATATGGGTATGCTTGGTACCAAACACAAATTTTGTGCTTGGTAGTGAGGTGACACAATCCCTTCCACTCATTCAAATGGGGGACTACATTTCACATGGGTTGAAGAGTGCTTGGAGATATGCAACCATTTGAATGAGTAGGGGGAATATGTCACCTCACTACCAAGCACAAATTGGTATGCTTGGTACCAAGCATACCCATTTTCTCATATATATATTCGTTGTTAGAATATTTGTTGTTAAAGATACGGGTTTTTAGAATATTCGTTGTTAAAGATACGGGTTGGTTGTAAAGGTTATGGGTTTGTTGTGTAGGTTAACTTCACAACCAAAGCATAACATTCACAACTAACGTATATCCTTAATAACAAACCCGTAACTTTAACAACAAACCCATAACCTTAACAACCAACCCGTAACATTCACAATCAACCATTATTCTTAGCAACGAATATTCTAAAAATATTATGGCTGTAGGGGTTTGAACCCCTAACCTCTTGTCCAAACTCCCAAACTTTACTACTAGGCCAAGTGACCCAAAGTATTCATTCCACTCAAAATATATATACATATATATATCCCAACGTGTAACATTCACAACCAACCCGTAAGCTTAACAACCGACCCATAACCTTAACAACTGACCCGTAACCTTAACAACCGATCCATAACCTTAATAACAAACCCGTAACCTTAACAATTAAACCTGTAACCTTAACAATCTCCCAATACAAACAAAAACAATTAGTTTCCTCATCAACAACGAAAATAATAAAAAACAAAAACAATAAAATAACAATCCCCTTCAATCATTTCAATATCATCACAATAACATCATGATATATATATATATATATATATATATACATCAATCATTTTAACTATCATCTCAGTACATCATGATAGAGAGAGAGAGAGAGAGAGAGAGAGAGAGAATGGTATTATGGTCTTCACATATTTTAATCTTTTGGGTTTTGTATTTTGAGGGGCTTAGAGAATAAAATCTTTATTTTTTGGGAGGAAAACACTCATTGACAAAGTCTTGGGGGGAAAACACGTTTTCTTGGGTTTTGGGGGCTGGAAGTATTTTCCCCTTGATTTTAATCCAAATGCTACTACTACACACACTTAGTACCGAGCACAAACACGATGTTTGGCAGTAATATGTCATATTTCAATCCAGTCATTCTAATTATCCAACATAATGAGTTACCTAACTACTATAAGCTAATTTTGACTTTTGATACCAAGCACGCATGCACACACACATACACGCGACGCGCACACACACAGAGCATATCCTATGAGATGCAAGTCTCCCATAGGATATGAGAGACATAAATCTTAGCCATCTATTTTAGTTCATAGGTCAAGATTAAAACACACTTAAAAGCTGAATCACATAAATAGCGTGATTGTTACAATGATTCAAAAATAGGTTGTCTAGCTATCAGAACTGTACTTGACAGCTATAGTACGCGAAGCTAAGTGGCTGTTTGTTTGCCTAAAAGAGATGGAAATTAAAGAATAGGAAACCTACTTCTAAGAAAAATTGTTTTGCAATTGTTTGGTTGACTAAAAAAAGAAGAAAATCAAAGAATGAGATGAGTTGTCACGAGTTGTCACATTATTATTAGATGATGTGGATGATTTTTTAAGAAAATTTGTTTTGAGGTTGTTTGATTGACAAAAAAATAAGAAAATAAATTATAAAAAACCTATATCTTGTAATAGGTTCTTTTCTTGTGTTTGGTTCATTCATAAAAATAAAAAAATAGATGAGATGAGATGTGTTGTCATTATATTATTAGATGATATGACTCACATTTAAGGAAATCGATTTCCTAGCTTTTTTTGCAGGAAATGATTGGAAACGAAATGTTAATGAGATGAGTTGTCACCATATTATTGGATGATGTGAGTGGTTTTTAAAGATGCGATGTGAAGATGAGATAGGTTGAATAATGTGACCCATTTTTTGTGTTTGCCTTATTTTTATGAGATGAGTTATTGGATGAAAATAATATTTTATTAGATGTTGTGGTGAGTTTTAGAGATATAAATGGATAAAAATAACATTTTATTAATTTCCCTCTACCCTTTTCTTTTTCTTGATTTTTAGGAAACCAACCAAACAACCCCTAAAACGACTTGGATAGAGGGAATTGCAATGGGGCTGCCAGCTGGGTTTTTGGCTCTTCGCCTCACCCAACAACTTACACAACCAAATAATGTAGTTTATGCAATATTGTAGTAGCCTGACGGCTAGTATTACACCACCCAAAATGACCCCAACCAAACAGACCCTGAGAGGAGAAGTCTGACCTCCCTCGATACAATCCATGCCTCCTCCAATGCCGCAGTTCCCTGCAGTTTCCCCTATCGATCGTCCTCGACTCCTCCTATACTGTCGTTGGCCGCTGTTTCCGCTCTCTCAATCGCCCTCAACAAGTTCTTAGCGTGGCTTCCTTCGTTGTCCAAGTCGACGATGACTGGGATCAGGCGGCAACCAGAGGGTTTAGCCACTGACCACCAATTGTACCGCCATTTCCGTCCAACTGCTGGTGTCGCATCCATCGGGAAATTTACTGGTCTCAACAATCAACATCATATTCAAGCGTGACAAACAACAAAAAAAATGAGAGAAAAATCAACAGCATTGTAAATTTCATCCTCCAAGTCTCATCAATCAACATCATATTCAAGCGTAAAAAATACCCAAAAATGAGGAAAATCAACAGCATGGTAAATTTCATCCTCCTAATTTCCCGCTCCCGGTGTAAAAGATCAAATCATTCCTCGAGATCACCTAGTTTCTTGAATATTTTGCAAAAAATTAAAACATGTAGGTGGTCATCACGATCTATTAACACAATCCCACATTCAATAAGATATAAAATCTGCCCTTCAATTACTTGTATATCCAGAACTACAACGAAGTTTTTACCCAACAATTTTAACAGGAAAAAAAATTACATTTATCTGACAAATTCCAAGAGTTTGAAATAGATTCAGGGACGAGAGAGAATGAGACGGTGGATTTAGGGAGGAGACGACAGAGACGAACAGAGAGACGGAAGGAGAACAGAGAGACGGAAGGAGATGAGAAACATGAAGCAGCAAGGCAGGAGAGAGAAATATGTATCTTGATTGGAGAGAATGACGTGAGAGTCATTTTGCGTGTTTTAATCTTGACCCCTATGGTATGTTTGGGAGTTCAACGGAGAAGGGAAGGAAGGGGGAAAACACCCCTTCCTTCCTTTTCCCTTCATTACCTCCAATTTGGGGTACTTTCCCTCCTCTAACCTCCTAAATGTAACTCCCAAACAAAGTTAATTACATTTCTCTTCCCCTCCCCCTCTCTACCCTCCATCCAAACAGGTCACTAAACTAAAATGGATGGCTAAGATTTATGTATCTCATATCCTACATGAGACTTGCATCTCATATCCTATAAAAAAGTAAAGTGTTCAACTGGAGCATGAAAACGTGATTAATTGGTCTTAGTTACTCTTCCGGGTAGGGTAAAAGAAGGGAAAAGATTCTCGATTAAAGAAAAGATTACATTGACTTCGAAAGAATTAAACAAGGAGCCGTATAAGGTGAAGATCTCATATACAGTTCTGTAGAGTGACAGTAAGGGTGACCTATCTATCACATTTTCCACTATCACCCCCCAAAAAACCAAAACGTAAAGTTGCCAAAGTACGACTAATCTCTGGATTTGAAATCACTGCTTATATACTTAGTATTAGCCAGAATTTACAAGAACAATCTGCAGTATGTGTGTATGTATCTATTTATATCCCTGAAGAACTGGTTAAACACGAAGGAATGGCTCAATATAAATCTTCAGCTAAGGTGCGACTGAAGTCGTATTACAATCATAGGATATGCTCGTTGTGCGAGGCACCCGATAACCCATCTTTCCAGAGGGCGCGACTTGAACGTGCAAATAAGATACTGCTACTGCCTCGCTATCTCTCGTTCTTACTTATTTCAGTCTACTTAAAGATCAAAACGTGCTCAACAAAGAATAAGATGAGCAGTTCAAATTTTCAGGGTCATTGATTTGTGCAGATGCGCATGGTACTTCATATGATTCAGTGCAGTAAGGTCTTAACTCAAAATCATATGTATTTTTATAGGTAACTTCATCGGCATATAGCATAGGATAATTCTTTTTAAAATTTGTAGCACTACAAACAAGCAGCAAAATAATTAGACTCCTTTAGAAGCCTTGTTTGGTAACAAAGAGGTTGTTGCGTAACAAAGAGGTTGTTGAAACAATAAGCTAAGTCAAAAATAAAGAGTATCGGAGCAACGCTCAATTTCAAGTGCATTCCAACACTATTGAGTTGGAAAAACTTGTTGTAAATTAACATATATAAAAAACTGTGCGAAAGCCACACAAGAATTTTAATTGCATCCGTCCCCTAAATTTTCTTTATTGCTAACTTGGATAAGGTTCATAAAACATAACTAGAAGATCAGACAATATCAATATAACCAATGTCATCAAACATCCAACACAAGGTCAAAAACAAAAATAAAAGACAATTTACCTGTCGCATGACCACAATGGCAAATAGAACAGTGACATATTGCTATTCTTAAAGCTTGTCCAGTCAGAAGCAGCGAAACAAAAAGCCCATTAGGACCAATCCCATTGTGACCATTACATGAATGGCACCCAAAAAATTCTGTGAGGATTTTACGTAGACAACTAATATCAATCTCTGAATCAAATTTCTTCTTCCTCCAGCTCTTGATCCCCCTCAGAACATACCTTGGCAGTGAAGAACTGAAAACAAAAGGGAGAAGAAAATTAAAGAAAAACACATAAGAAGACCCGTATTTGGGAGAAACTTTATTTACCATCTCTAAAGATACCTTTGTGAAGTTCCAGTAATACAAACCGAAAAAGGAAGAACCACAAGATACACGAGTAATGTCTAGAAATATATAATTCTTACCCTTAAGAAATGTTTGTTGAGCATGCATATCTACATCATTTTCACCATAAAAGAACAACTTTCAAGTTTCAATCAGACACACACAAACTTACTATTGCCTACGAGTGGGACAGGACACTCTAAAGAAATTTCTAATTGTTTGATCTCTTCTATGCGACTTTTCGAAGATGGAAACTAACACCTTCATTAGAAGTGCAAATCTGCGAGAAAGCTGAAAAGTTGCTTAGACTAGTGGTCACCATACCTGGGGAAAGGAAATGGTCTATGGAGTTAATTTAACTGATAGCATAGCTAGACGGAAGTGAAGTATTCATATAGCCGATGCCAAAAGTTCTGCGATAACAGTTTGGTTTTCCTTGTTGCATCGGTGGATGGCCATAATTAACCACCTTGTGGATGTTGACACTTGATAGAATACATGTAGAGTTTAGTTCGTTAGTGAACAAATGTAGCTCACTCGTGAGTGCAATAAGATTTTTGTTCAGAAGAACCAGACTGACAGAGTGACAGAACTATCATATCTCAGAAACCAAGATCAATCATAATCCTCATCTTAGAGGTAACACCATTTAAGTTTTGCATCACAGGCTATTGATTCCCATCTCCGATATCACTTTAAGAAGACATGGATTCTACATAACGGAAAGATGAAGGAGAAGTAATTTGCTTCTCAGGATTGAAAAAAAAAATCAACTTTTGGACGTTCTATGGAGCTTAATACCTACTATGCTTTCTTCCGATGTAGCACGCCACATATGGGCCACACCCACCAAATATAGCTTAGGTCAAAGCCCCATAGGAAGCAGTTAACCTGGTAGTCTAGCACTTGCATATATGTAAAAATCAAACATTGTAGAAATTTACCTTGAAATTCATTGGTTAATCTCAAAGGAGGCAACAAAGCTGGGAAACATTAAAAAAAGGGGAAAATGCTTCCAGCCCCCAAAACAGGAGAAAACGTGTCTCCCACCCCCAAGACTTTTTCAACGGGTGCTTTGCCCCCAAAAGTAACATTTTTATTCTCTGAGCCCCCAAAACATAAAGCCCAAGAGATTAAAATACGTGAAGACCATGATACCATTCTCTCTCTCTTTATTATGATGTTACTGTAATTATTTCAACTGGGTTTTAGGGGGGGTTTTCTAGTTCCCTCCAAATATTTTCAGCGGCATCAACATCGACGGCGTTGACATCGGCGGTGAAAATTTGGGAAGGAGAGATGTGAGGGCAGCTATTTTCAAATGTCGCTGTATTACCCGCGGTACACACGCGCGTAGTACGAGGCGATGTCGGAGTAGGAGCTGGACTGCTTCCTCAGGAGCTACGAGCTGACCTTTGCCGGCGACGTCGACGATAGTGGGAAATTTTTTGGGCTTTCTCTCGGAGCAATTAATGATGTTTTTTTAAGTGGGAAATTTTTTTTCGGAACTGATGGTGGGAAATTTTTGCATGGAGCTGATGATGGCTACAATATTCTACAAACCTTATTCCACTAGTATTTGAATTTTAACTTGTTTTTAGGTCATCTTAAGCAAAGCAAACCTCGGAAGCCTTGAAAGAGGCCTACGACGGCGGCGGGACGGAGTTGGTTGTGAAGGATAGGGTCGGTTGTTAAAGTTAGGGTCGGTTGTTAAGATTATGGGTTGTGAAGGTTACGTGTCGGTTGTTAAGGTTACGGGTCGGTTGTTAAGGTTACAGATCGGTTGTTAAGGTTACACGTTGGGATTTATATGTATATATATTTTGAGTGACATGAATAATTTGGACCACTTAGCCTACTGGTAAAGTTTGGGAGTTCGAACAAGAGGTTAGGGGTTCAAACCCCTACGGCCACAATATATATTTAAGGGTCTTTGATGGGCCTTGGGTCTTGGGGCTTTTGGACTCTTTAAATTCTAAATATATTTTTAGAATTTGATTGTTAAGCTTACGCGTTGGTTGTGAATGTTACGCGTTGGTTGTTAAGGATAAGTGTTGGTTGTGAAGGTTACGTATTTGTTGTGAATGTTACGGGTTGGTTGTTAAGCTTACGTGACGTTGGTTGTGAAGGTTACACGTTGGTTGTTAAGGTTACGCGTTTATTATTAAGGATAAGCGTTGGTTGTGAATGTTACGTATTTGTTGTGAAGGTTATCGGTTGGTTGTTAAGCTTACGTGGCGTTGGTTATGAATGTTACACGTTTGTTGTTAAGGTTACGCGTTTATTGTTAAGGATAAGCGTTAGTTGTGAAGATTACGTATTTGTTGTCAAGGTCATGCGTTTGTTGTGAAATTAACCTTGACAATCAACCTCTAACATTAACAACCAAACCCTTATCCTTAACAACAAACTCGTAACCTTAACAACAAACTCGTAACCTTGATAACAAGGCTCTTAGGCTCTTTGAATACTAAAAATATTTTTAGAATATTCGTTGTTAATGTTACCTTAACAACAAACGCATAACCTTGACAACAAACCCGTAACCTTAACACGAATATTTTTAGAATATTCGTTGTTAAGGTTACGGGTTTGTTGTTAAGATTACGGATTTGTTGTTAAGGTTACGCGTTTGTTGTTAAGGTAAACTTGACAATCAACCCGTAACATTAACAACCAAACCCGTAACCTTAATAACAAACTCGTAACCTTAACAAACTTGTAACCTTAACAACAAGGCTCTTGGGCTCTTTGAATACTAAAAATATTTTTAAAATATTCGTTGTTAAGGTTACTTTAACAACAAACACGTAACCTTAACAACAAATCTGTAACATTAACAACAACCACGTAATCTTAACAACGAATATTCTAAAAATATTTTTAGAATTCAAAGACCCTTAAATATATATTATGACCGTAGGGGTTTGAACCCCTGACATTTTGTCCAAACTTCTAAACTTTACCACTAGGCCAAGTGGCTCAAAGTATTCATGTCACTCAAAATATATATACATATAAATCCCAACGTGTAACATTAACAACCAAGCCGTAACATTAACAACTGACTCGGAACCTTAACAACCGACTCGTAACCTTAACAACAAACGCATAACCTTAACAATCAACGCGTAACCTTAACAAACAACCCCTAACCTTAACAAGCAACCCGTATAACCTTAACAACCAACCCGTAACCTTAACAACCAACCCGTAACATTAACAACAAACCCGTAATTAGCCCAAAATTACCCGCTAATATTAACAAAATATGGCAGAAGTTTCAAAACCACCCGCTGATATTCCACCACTGCAACTAATTATAAGCTAATTAGCCCAAAATTTAGCTATATTTACATCACCAACAGCCAATAAGCCAATTATGCCATAACAATAAGGAACGGATAGGGGGGAAAAGAAGAAGAGAACCAACAACAGGGTATTGCGCATTATATTCTCTCTTTAAAACCACTAGCATGGAGAATTGTTTTCGCTTACCCCATAATTAGAAGTTTAACTTTCCTTGCTGCAAATATCATTGTCTATTTATTGTTTCTTTTTCCCCAATTTAAAGCATTGCTAGTTTAGTCTTTTAAATTTCCCTAATTTAAAGCAGTGCAAGTCCTCGTGCAAGAAAACCAGAGCGAACTGGTTCCATATCACGAAGAGGTCATCTCGAGCAAGTTCGAGGCCACCAACGAAGCATCATTAAGGAAACAAATCTCCAACCTACGAACATCAGGATGGTACTTTCCATCACAGTAGGCATTTCAGATCCAAATCTCCTGAGAGAAAGCACCATACTAGCAGTTACTCAACACGTGCAGGAAAGTGATCTCCGTCTCCAGCTCCTCCGACAGAGACATGTGCGCCCCCCCCCTTGTCGCTGGAGTTCCGCTCGACCCTCGAGCGGACGATCTCTCTGTACTCCTCAAACCGCACCAGAGTTTTCTCCGTGTTGTGGATCTTGAGGATGCTGTGGATGACCGGAGCGACGGTGGCGGAGAAGGTGAGGATGGCAGGAGGAGGGCGGCGGCGGGTGGAGAGGTGGGGGAGGGAGGAGGGAGAGCAGAGGGATTGCAGGGTTAGAGAGAGAGAATGGGTATTATAGTTTTTACCTATGTAAAATTATTGAGCTTTGTGTTTTGGGACTCATAGAATAAAAATGTTACTTTTGGGGGTAAAGCACCCGTTGAAAAAGTTTTGGGACTGGGAGGCACATTTTCTCCTGTTTTGGGGGCTGGAAGCACTTTTTTTCCCTTAAAAAAACGATGGGTACAGCGAAAGCTCCTTATAGATTCAATTACCATTTAATTCCACATGATTTCTAGTACAGATTCAAGTAAAATAATAACATCACATAATGCTAGAGTACAAAAAAATAATAAGTTTAAGAACATTCCTTAAAAAAAACCACAAAAAAATAATAAGTTTAAGAACATTCCTTAAAAAAAACCACAAAAAAATAATAAGTTTAAGAACATTCCTTAAAAAAAACCACAAAAAAATAATAAGTTTAAGAACATTCCTTAAAAAAAACCACAAAAAAATAATAAGTTTAAGAACATTCCTTAAAAAAAACCATGTGGACGGGCGGCGGCGGGTGGAGAGGTGGGGGAGGGAGGAGGGAGAGCAGAGGGATTGCAGGGTTAGAGAGAGAGAATGGGTATTATAGTTTTTACCTATGTAAAATTATTGAGCTTTGTGTTTTGGGACTCATAGAATAAAAATGTTACTTTTGGGGGTAAAGCACCCGTTGAAAAAGTTTTGGGACTGGGAGGCACATTTTCTCCTGTTTTGGGGGCTGGAAGCACTTTTTTTCCCTTAAAAAAACGATGGGTACAGCGAAAGCTCCTTATAGATTCAATTACCATTTAATTCCACATGATTTCTAGTACAGATTCAAGTAAAATAATAACATCACATAATGCTAGAGTACAAAAAAATAATAAGTTTAAGAACATTCCTTAAAAAAAACCACAAAAAAATAATAAGTTTAAGAACATTCCTTAAAAAAAACCATGTGGACATCCCTTGACCTAACGTTCGGGAGAAAACTCCTCGAAATGCTAGGGGCAAGATCTAAAGCTCAAGTACGATAGTAAATAATGAGTGCAAAAACTTCTAACGTAGCTTATGGCGTTCAAGGTACATTTAAAGGTTGATTTTATTCTTATATGACGCACGGTGAACAACCAAACAAGTTATATTGTTAGCATATAAAAGTCATATAAAGATGTCCTCTGATGCCAGAAATACATAAGCTAGGGTTTCGAATTAGAAAATTACCCCAATCAACGAGAAGGGGGAGGAGAGGAGAAGAATCCGGATCAAAGCTCGAGCTTGAGTTCCTCCTTCTCTTGGGAGAGGTAATGGAGGACGTAGGGCGCGACACGGATCACAGCGATCGAAGCGCCCATCAAGGTCAGATTTTTCTTCAGCTCTTTGTATGCCACCGCCTTCTCCGGCCTCCTCAACGCTCCCAAAAACATTCTCGCTGAAACCCTGAAACGAGCCCTCAAAACTTTCTTCTCCTCTTTCTCGCAAAAGCCCTAGCTCCCCCGCGTGGCGATAGATGCATACATCCGTACATACAGGGGCTGTTTGGTTGTTGCTGATAAAGCTGTATATTTATGACACAACTTGAAAAGTTACTGTCCACCTTATCAATTTTACTTTTATACTTTTCTTTGTTTGTTTTTTATTCCATTAGAATCATAAAACACTTGTTTGGTTTGTAAAATGAAACTTTAATTGTTTGTTTGGAAAGTGTAAAAAATGGTCCCTACTCAAATGATCATGTTGGTTCGAATTATTTTTTCCAGACTTCAATGTCAGTTTTCTCCTAAAATCATGTCTTTTTTTTATGAAATCACTTTACAAGCTACATCAGCATATGAAATCACTTTATGAAATCACTTTACAAGCTACATCAGCATATGAAATCACTTTACACTATTTTCACAACTACAAACAAACAATTGAAAGTGATGAAAGCTATCAGCATATGAAATCACTTTACACTATTTTCACAACTACAAACAAACAATTGAAAGTGATGAAAGCTGGCATTGGGACCCACTTTTTTACACTTTCCATCCTTTTACATAGTAAAAACATACAACCAAACGGGCTCATACCAAGGCTGGATTAGAGGGTCGGTGGTTGACAGTTGGGCCAATGATCGTAATGTTGTTTTGGGCTTAATTCATCTACATGGGCTTTTTTAAAATAAGGGGGCGAACTTGCATTGTTCGGTCTGTAGTATTTGTTCCATGGCTGATGGATTTATGGATGGATATAAAGGTGCGATTATGTGCGACGAGGAGCGACACATACATGAGTCATGATTGCTGTGTGATGCTTGAGGTTGAGGGACCTTGGATCATACTAAATTTGAAGACAACAGGATATGGGCGGAGTTTACTTACTTATTTCATGGATTTGGCTCGTAATGCACTAATTGGTTAGTTTTTCCCTCTTCACGTCTCAGTGTGAAATTCTACTATGTAATAACTTTGGTTCATGCTACATAATTTTCGATCAATTTGGGTCGCAATAGGTACGTCTCTCCCCTCTCTTTCTTTGTTAACAAGGATCATGCACAGGAGACATCGACAATTATTAGTAAAAAAGGAGGAGGGGGGGGGGGGGAGGCCGGCCCAAGCGTTTTTGATGGCCCTGTGCCGAAATGATAAATGAGACTCCCTCTTCTATAATAAATGTTGAACTAATAAATTTATTATTATATTTATTTTACAAAAGAATAATACATAAAAATACAAAATTAAAAAACGATGCTTTCGTGCCAATTTTTTGATGGCAAAATATCAATAATAGAATACGTATATCTATCTTTCCCAGACATAGCATTATTGTGTTTTCTATTAATAGGATAGTTAATGGGAAATTAATGAGGTTCAAATTGAATTTCCTAAACTTGACAAAGACAATAGATCATAATTGTAGTACTAATTGTGTGTTATTCCGGATTAAAATGTAAATCAGATGGGTCATGGGTGTTTAGGAAGTTAGCTTTAGGGCAAGACATAAATTATTATTGTAATTACAGTGGTGGTATTAGAATTAGGCCTTTTTTTAAAAAACAAAGGCTGTATTTGGAGAAATAAGAAATACATGGGCATTTTAAAAATTGGGCCCTTTGAAATGGGCCCTGTGGCATTCGCCCCCCCTAGCCCCCGTCTTTGGCGAGGCCTGGGGGGGGGGGGTGATTGGGACTTCCCTCAAACTGGTAACGTATAGGAAATCGAATGTGAAACTACCCACTTGGAAAGTCCTACCGCTCTCACTTACCTACATTAATTTACCCACAATTAGCTATAAATGTTTATAATGAGAGAGTGAGCTAATGCCTTACCGTGCCATGGAAATCACAATCTCATATCAACCCTTGCAATAGCTTGCACCTACTGGTAAATGGCTAAATCTGATCTTCAAAAAGAAAAATTTCTCAATGACCCAAAATATAGGACCAATAGGGGGGACAAGTGAAGTATCCCCCACCTATTGGATAATGAGTTGGTCATCATTAATGATGATAAATTCATTATCCAATAGAAAGAGGGCATCTTACTTGTCCTTCTTATTGGTCCAATATTTTGACTCCCTGCAGCAAAAGCTCCTCCAAAAATACCACTTCACTTTCAAAACAAAAGAGGAAACAAACCGAATTTTCCCATCCACAGCCACAGGTAAGCAAGTAATAAACTCATACAGTCAGTGGACAACCCTAAACTTAGTCTGCAAGAGCACCACACCTCAATCCCAACAACAGCAGTAGCCCGCCCCTCTCAAAAACAAAACATAACCCCTAGGCCCTACAAAATTCAACCAAAAACCTCTCCTCTCTCCCTTGCACCGTTCCCCCCTCCAACCACCATGGCCTCGTCTCCGACGAGTCCAGCGCCATACCAATACACCGGGGGCCCATCAACATCCCCAACACCACTCCGAATACAAACTCCGACAAGCACCCAACACCACGCACCCAAAAATTTACCCAACTGTCGCCCTCCCCTTCATCGCCATGGATCGCCGTCATCGGCACCGCCCGCCGCTTCATCGTCCCTACGCTCGAATCGTATCCCACTAATCTTCGCCGCCTCGACGACGTTACCGCCGCTACGGCGCCGGCGCGCGCCTCCTCCACTCGACCTCCGACTTCGGGTCTCCTCCCCCCAACAGCAACGCCTTCTCCTTCGATCCCTCCTCCGACTACTTCTTCTCCCCCTACGGCCTCGACGAATCCGCCATCATATCGCTTCCTCTCTCGGAATTCTCTCTCAAATCGTCGCTCACACGAGACTGCGCCGTATGCTTGCTTGAGTTCGAGCACGGCGACTCTCTACGAACTCTCCCGCTCTGCTCTCACTGACTTCACGCTTGACTGGCATCACTGTGGCTACGATTCGCACCGCCACGTTGTCCTCTCTGCCTGCCGCCGGCGCTTTTTCGATTTAGTATCGCTTCTTCCATCCCGATGACGAGCCGCTTCGGATCCGTCCCAGCCCTACGACGCATCCTATCTTCATCCGCGCCTGATCAGCTGACGGAGCACGAGATTCGCGCCCGCCGGTATCATCGCCCGGCTGTGGATCGCAGTTCCTGCCTTGAAAAGATCGTATTCCTTCGGATTCGAGATCGAACCTAGCGGCAGATCGGATGCGTGAGGACGCTCACCGCTCGCCCGTGGCGGTATCTCACCGTTGGAAGGCTCTGGAGCAAGCGGATGCGCCGTCGCCGTTCACGGATCTCAATCGGCCGCTCGCAGAACGTCGAGAGTCTTCTCGTTCCGATCTCACCGGGATCGCGTTTAAAATCGCGCGTTCGTAAAAGCGGAGTAAAAGTTTTTCGTGTCGAATCAGCGTTAGATATAACACGGCGGAGCTGGACGTCATACGAGGGAGGAGCAGAGCGAAATGAGAGTCAATCTAAGTCCGGCGATATATCATGCGATCGAATGTTACAGAACTTTTAGTTCCAGCCAGAATTGCGGGCGGGATCCAGAGCGCTGCTTTCCGCCGGCAGAGATTAGAGAGGCGTAATGCTTTACCGATTGGACGAGTGACGGATCGTGAGAGATGGGGTCACCGCGGTCCGTGGCTGATCTTTTAATGGCGGCGTCGCAGCGCAATGCCAGAAAATTAATGAGCTCCGGGGCGCTTGAAATGAGGGCGAGAAGGATGAGAGCGGGAGTGTTCTTTTGCTCGTTCGCATCTCCAAAAATTATTGGCGAGGCAATTAAATGCAGGGTTGGGCGCTTAGCGGGAATTGGCCCGAGAATTCAAGGCTTTGCACTGCCTGCACGTGAGGATCGACGGGGTTGCCGGCAGCTTGTGATGGCACGTGCGGTTTCGAATTTGGCGGGCAACCCCCCCCCCCCCCCCCCCCCCCCCCCCGAATGAGAAATTGGTGGTATTTAATAAGTTAATTCCTATGATCGCGCAGAGAATTGGTGTGTTAAATTTTGCCACCGCAACTCTTGCCCAAAAAAAATTCTGCATCGAGAAGATGCAACTGAATCCTTTATTCCCCATGTGAAGAATGGGGCCCAATTAATTTTTGAAATTTTCGAGGGTTTTTATACTTTGGTAAACCAGAAAATTAATTGAATACCTTTTAGAACATTTTAGGGTCTCAGTTCGAAAATATACACAGAATAGATTATTAAGTGATTCTACTTTAGATGATTACTGAGGAAACCGAATTGAACTATGCCAAAACATATTATTGGGTGCAGTCAAAAAACACTTGCAGCTGGAAAACACGGTTTTTTTTAATTGGGGTGTGGCCGTGCTGGATTTTGGTGAGTGGTACTTGGTATTGACTTTTGCTAAAATAAAATATAATTAAGACTGATATCTATTCTTATTAGTGTCCCAAGCGATTTATGTATATATCAGGAAGTTTTATAGCTGATTCGATCATTTCTTATTTAGTCATCTTACTCCGGCGATCTCGGAATTCAGCTTTGTAAATCCATCCTTTAAATGGCCGCTAACAGGAAAAAGCTTTGGTCCAGGTTTGCGGTCCTATGTGTGCTTCCCCCCACTCTTAGCTCCTGAAACCTTATTAACACTCACAGGCAACCTCCGTCCATAATTTTTATTACAGATCAGTATAAATTGATCGATGTTCTCCTGTGCTATGATCCTTCGTTACACAAAGAAAGAGAGGGGAGAGACTTTACTATTGAACGACCCAAATTGACTCGCAAAATTATGCCGTATAGCCATGAACAAAGTTATTACATAGTAGAATTTCACACTGATGACGTGAAGGAGTGGCAAAAACTAACCAATTAGTGCCATTACGAGCCAAATCCATGGACAATAAGTAAAGTAAACTACCGCCCATATCCTGTTGTCTTTCAAATTTAGTATGATCCAACGGTC